GTGCCCTTCTTCCCCCCCCCCCCCAAGTGCCTCACCGCTGAAGACCATGGCAGCCGAGGCGCCCATGACGGCGAAGAAAGAGGCGTATTCCGGAGGAGAGGCCATGGCCGAGCCGGGCGACGAGGAAGGCGAGGGGGGAGGAAGGGGAGAGGAAAAAAAAAAGAGAAGAAAGGGGAGGAGAGGGCGGCTACGAGGCTACCGAGCGCGGCTCAGGGAGAAGGACCGGGCAGCGCCTCCTCCTCCTCGCCTCCTGCAACGGAACGTCCCGGGAAGAGCCGGTTTGCACAGGAAAAATGGCGGAACGGCGCTTCTTTTTTGGGGGGCTGTGCGCTTGCAGTTTCTCTTTTCCTTCGCGCGGTGGAAGGGGGGCTTGCGAAGTGGCGCCCGCTGCTGAGTCCCTCCGCCTCTCGCTTGGGTCGCCCGCCGCTCCGCCACTGCCCCCGCGGCTCGCTCTAAATACCCAGCCACCGCAGGACAAAATGGCGGGCGCCCCCTGCTCCTCCTCTCGCCCCCCTCCGTCCTCCATTTTTTTTTTCGATTCCGGACGTGCCAACTCGGAGAAAGGTGGGGGGGGAGGTAAGGGGCTTTTCTGTTTCACAAACGAGGCTTCTGTGGGTACGCAAAGACGCAGTCATTTCACCTCCTTCCGAATATGACTTTTTTTTAGTTTGTTGTTCTATCTGTCTTTTGAACAGGAAATGTCGCTGCAGTGGTTTTTGTTTTTAAACTCCTCCCCTCACTCTACTATGGTTCAGTCCGTTCGGAGCTTCTCGGTTTTCTCCGGGGCTTCCCCCCCTCCTCAGGTGAGCGTGATTCAGCGCTCATTAACATACGGGGCGTGGCCGCCGTAACCCAACCTCCTTTGGTCTCTCCAGGCCTAGGACGGACCTAAGTAGTTGACAAGAGGTTAAAGCATCTTCCACCATGGTGGGTTTCTCCTCAGCAACATTTACCCCAGTTTTTCAGATTAGCCGTGAAGCAAGAACGAAAGGAAAAGATGTGACTGCCATAATATAATCAATGGACAGTAGATTCCAGACAGACTGAGACCAATGTTCCCTCTAAGCTTTGGAGTCTTGTGAGCAAAAATTCTGCTTTGTGAGCTCCTGGCATTAAAGCTGTGAGCGAGCGATTTGGCTGCTGTATAAATTACTTTGCTCTGCAGCCATCCTTCCTGAGCTAAGACAAAAATGTGTGAGCCAGAGGCTAAA